AAAAAGTATAGACAACTCCCCAAAACCCCAAAACCCAGTAATTGTCATTTTTACAAAAAAATGCAATTAATCAAAATTATATATTAAACAATTACGTGTTCAAGGCTAGGATTAAATTATAAATAGAGGCACTAATTATGATTGGCATATTATACATAAAATCAATTAAAATTAAGATTAATGAGCAAATCAACAATTACACCACAAGAAGATCTATTCAAAGCAGTGTAGAATGCTATTGAGAGAAGAAAGAATCCAGTTAAACTAACTTTTGAAAACCTTGAGTATGAAGTAGAAGTAAAGTTGAATGCTCAGGATGCTAAAGCAAAAGGATAGAAAACTATGAGACAAAGAATTGTAAAAGGTGCCTCTGGGTATGCTCTTCCTGGTCAAGCATTATACATTATGGGATCATCAGGCGCAGGAAAAACATCTCTTTTAAATTTGATTAGTGATAGAATAGCTAGCACTAGAGCAAACAAAATGTCTGGAAAAGTTCTAATAAATGATACAGTACCCCTTACTCAATCGACTTTTGGTTAAGTTGCAAGTTATGTGATGTAGGACGATGTATTGTTCCATAACTTTACTCCAAGAGAGGCTTTGAGATTTGCTGCAAGACTTAAACTACCGATTTCGATTCAAGAGCAAGATAAGAGGGTAGAAGATCTCCTTCATGAACTCGGACTCTTAGGAGCTGCAGATACTTTGATTGGTAATGCTCGATTTAAGTCATTATCAGGTGGAGAACGGAAAAGAACAGCAATAGGTGTAGAACTCATTTCTGATCCATCCATGATTTTACTAGATGAACCTACATCAGGATTAGATAGTTTTAAAGCTCTATCTATAGTCAAACTACTTCAAAAATTAGCAAGAAATGGAATGACTGTAATAGCTACCCTGCATCAACCATCATCAGAAGCATTTACAATATTCGACAGGCTAATCTTAATGGCTGACGGTCATATAATGTACTAGGGACTAGCTAGAGATAGTACTAAATATTTCAGTTCGATTGGACTCAATTGCCCTCTCTTCTCAAATCCAGCTGATTACTATATGAAAGTACTAACTATCAACTATCCAAAATAAGAATCAGATGAGAAGAAATTAACCTTCATGATGAATTCATATGATCAGAGATAAAAATCAATTGTCCAGAAAGAATAAAGCTAGATAAAAATTTAGGAATTTGATTTTAATGAAAGCAGAATATAATAGACTGGTTTTTGCTTTTAAATGAAACAATTAATAGGAAGAAATTCATTAAACTAAAGAAGAGACCCTAGACAAACATTTGTAAAAATATTCCAAACTATCTTTATGGCTTTGGTAATCCTACCCATATTTTGGGATCTCTCTGGAAATGGATTCGTCGTCCAAATGGGTCTAGCTGGAGCAATATTTTTTATGTTGGTAAATATGACTTTCGGTGGTGTTTTGGGAACAATCCTAGTTTTCCAAGACGAGAGACCTGTCTTTCTTAGAGAGTTCTCAAATCGCATGTATCAAGTGCCTGCTTATTATCTAGCTAAGGTATTGGTTGAAACACCTGTCATGGCATTAAATCCTCTTTTGAATGCTATAATAGTTTACTTTGGAATTGGTTTGACTGCAACAGCATCACAATTCTTCTACTTTTATCTAATTACTTTGATGGTATCATTCTGTGCCGCCTCTATTGGTTACTTTGTGTCAAGTCTCTTTGAAAAAGAAGAAGATGCAGTGGGAATGGCACCGTTGTTTGTCTTACCTCAGGTTATTTTTGGAGGATTTTTCGCCAACTCGGGCAACTATCCAGTCTGGATAGGCTGGCTTCAGTATTTGTCACCTCTCAGATATGGATAGGAAGCCTTAATTATAAATGAATTCTTGCCAAGAACCTACAAAAGCAATGAGATAAATTTGGTGGACTATCTAAAGTACGACTTAGGAATGACGAAATGCTTAGTTATCATGCTTGCATTAATCATCGGGTTCAGAATTATATCTATGATTTTCTTAAGGCTACTGGTTTCCAAGTTCCAATGAGGTAGAATATTTATAGATTTATCTCGATCTACTAAAAATTATCAAGTAATAAACAATTTATCCTTTAATTATTTAATAAATCACCATTCATTCTAATTACGTGTAACATGGGGTTTTGGGGTTTTGGGGTTTTGGGG